TCCTAAAACAGTGGCAAAAGATCCCTTAAAGGATGCTTTGTTAATTTTCACTGATGGCTTATCTAATGGGAAGGCTACATATGTGGCCAAGGATAAAAGACATGTTGTACAGACAGAACCAGCTTCAGCTCAAATAGTTGAGCTGCAAGCTGTAGCTCTAGTGTTTAAGAATTTTGCTAATAAGGCTTTTAATCTATATACTGACAGCCAGTATGTTAATAATGCTTTGCAAATATTGGAAACAGTGCCTTATATAGGAACTAGCAATAAACAAGTTAAGTTATTGTTTCAACAGATTCAGGAAGCCATAGAATGCAGAAAGTTACCATGTTTTGTGGGATATATCAGAGCAATTCAAATCTTCCTGGTCCATTAACTTAAGGAAATGCTGGCACTACAGAAATTCCCAGGAATCCACAAGGTTGACACCAGCTAAGACCCTAAGCAATAGTGGAGAGGGTGTCCAAATGGGCCTTGCCCTGTGGTCAGATTGATGACTATCTTAAATGTTACCATAGAACCTTCATCCAGCAACTGCTAGAAACAGAGGCAGAGATCCACAGGGAAGCACTGGGCTGAGTTCCCAAAGTCCAGTCAAAGAATTGGAGAAGACAGAATATGAGCAAAGTGGTCAAGACCATGATGGGTTCACCCACTGAGACAGCTTACCTGAGCTAATGGGACCTCACCGAATCCAACCTGATAGGGAAGGAACCAACATAGGACCAAACCAGGACCTCTGAATGTGGGTAACAGTTGTATGGCTGGGGAAGACTGTGGGACCACATGCAGTGGGACCAGGATTTATCCCTGCTGCTTGTACTGGCTTTATGGAACCCATTCTATTTGGAGGGATACCTCACTCAGCCTAGATATGGCAGGGAGGGACTTGGTCCTTCCTTAAACCAATATACTACATCTTATTGACCCCCCCTGGAAAACCTTACTCTCTTTGAGGACTGGATGGGGGTTGGGAAAAGAAGGTGGAGGAAATGGGAGAAGGGGAGGGAGTGGAAACTGGAATTGGTGTGTAAAATGAGAAAAGATATACATATTTTTTAAAAAGAAAAATAAAATAAAAATAAAAAGATTTACCTCCTTCCCCTTTTTGAACACATGGATTCAGTCACGTAGCAGATAGTCTACAGTTCTTCAATCCTAAAATGAAGTGAGAGGAAGGAGCACCAAGAGAGGTTTTAAAAGAGAGACTTAAAGGAAGTACAGAATGAGATGGTTGAAACCCAGAGGCAAAGTTGACAAAGAATGATCTGAAATCTGAAGGAAGGAGGACCGGTACCCTAAAAGAAGGGACATCAGGAGAGGGTTAGAGCCTAGATAGAGGGTGTGCCAGGAAGATTGGGCAGCCATGAAGAAGAGATGCCGAAACAAACTTGGATCCCCGAGGAAGGTGCTCCAGGAACGGCTTTAGGTACTCTCAGAGGCACCCAAGAGAGTTGGAGCCCTAAAAGAAGGGCTCCAAAGGGGTTACGGAAGCCTGAGTTAGGGCATTAAGAGAGTCTGAGAAAGGGTTCTGACCTTCTCTTTGCACATTTCTCTCAGATTCTGATCCCCTTCCGAGGTCCTTCTCTCCAATCAGGGCTGCAGCTCCTGTTTTGTGGCCCTGCTTCTGAACTCCAGCCTTAGGCACCCTACCCTCTGTGCTCTGGATTTCTTTTGGTATTTCTCACTCCTGCCTCCCTCACTCTGACCTTTTCATGGCGCTGACCCTTGATACCATTTCCTCGGGGCTCCCACTTTCCTTGTCTCTCCCTTAAGGGCTCCAAACATTTCTTGGATATGATAGGAGGATAAGGATCCTCATATCTCTGTCAATCTCTCTTGGTTGAACTTTGTCTGGGAAGGAGCAGACAGCAATGGTCCTGATAACACATTGCTGATGTGCTCCAACAGTGGTTTGTCTCCTGAGGCTGGGGAGACTTGGACAGGCTGCTTGGCTTTACTTTGCCAATATCAACTACAGGCACCCTGATAATACCTTTAACAGATACAAATCACCATGTGAGAACAACACAGAAATGGCCAAATGCACACATTTTCCACAGTACCCCACACAGGTTCACAGAATTAATAGAGTGTGTGATGTTGAGCATTGACAAGGTCCTCATAAATGACGCTCTGTGGAGTTATTTCTCCATCACAGTGCAATTAACCTGTGAACTATAGTGAGGGAAGGGACTGCCATGTCCTTGACAGGAAGGAACTTTGCACGCAGGCCAGTAGACAGGCAACCCACCCTGAAATGAGGAAATATTGTGTGTTGGAGGACTCATGAAGAGAGGACTCATCAAAAATGAGTAGAGATCCCTGACAGAGAGCTGAAGTTCAACTATGGACTGACACAGATTTATGTGGGGAGGGGACTACTTGGGTTGTGATCACGAGGTCCTTCTGATGTCGGGCAGCAGACAAGTCTCAGGGCTGTGGATGCTAAAGCAGTCAGGGTGAGTTCCACAGTGGAGGACCTACATAATGGCTGCAGACTGCCAGGGAACAAGCAGCAGCAAGGCCTCCAGCCTTCAGCCCAGGACTTCCAGCAGGGTGTTGCCAGTGGGGCTCACTTCACACAGCTCTATGTGGTTGAACACAGTGGTGATGACAGTCTTGTTCTCTATGGAGCCTTGCTTGAATGGACCATCTGATCCATGCTGGAGAACACGTCATCAAGGGCTCCTGAAATTTTACATGGATTCCCAAGTTTGGAAAACTAGGGAAAGGGTTGGGAAGGAGTTCATCCTGGAGTTGTGAATGTGGGCACTCTTTTGTGTCCTTAGTCCTCCCTGGAGTCACAAAGAACATAGCTTCTGGTCACTGTTTCATTTAGACCTTGGTAACATTTAGTGTAATATTAGAACAAGAACTGAACAGGACATTTTATTTGCATAGCTGCCTGTCCTAGGACTAAATTGTCAACTGGGGAGGGGCAGTGATAGATGTAAAGATGGTAACAATCCATAGACTGGTAAAAAGAAAAAAAAAACTACAGTTGGGTTTTTCCCCCAAAAAACGTTTCCACCATCCTACTCCCATCCTCCTTCCTCTCACAGCTGCTTCCCAGTGCAGTTCTCTACCCAAGCCACCCCAGGGCTGCAGTGCTCAGAACCTGGCCTAGACTAAGGCAGTGACCGACCAGCTCCCAGGATAGCAGCGGTCCCTTCAAGAATCTTTTCTTTTCCTAAAAGGTCGGTCAAGTAAAACAGCTGAGCTCTTCAAAGCTGTCCACCCCAGTTGCCGAGGAATTTGTCAGCTCCAAACCTCTTGGTGCCCTTCTCTCGGGGTTCTGAGCCCTTCTTCTAACCCTTCCGATCTCCATCCATCTCTCGGTGCACGTTTGTAGAGCTCTGACCCTGTCTTGCTGCAGTTCCGTCCGGGTTCTGACTGTCTTGGTGCTCTTCCTTTCCGGTTCTGACACCTCAGTACTACACCTCTCTTTGGTCCACTTTGCCCCACAGCACTCCATCCCTCTCGTGGTGTGCCTGTCTCCAAATGTCTATTGCTGCCCTTCTATCAGAACTCAGTATCTCTTGGTGAACTTGCCCTCAGGGTTGGACCCTCTCATGAATCTTGGCGTGCTTTTTCCTCTGGGCTCTGACCCACGGAATTCAGGGGCCCTCACTTTCGGCTTGGACTCTTCTTTGGTACCATATTTTAGGGATTCACCTCTCTTAACAAGCATCCCTTAGTTCTCAGAGCCTCTCTGGGCATCCTCCCCTCCCAAGATTGGAACCTTGAGGGAAAAACACAGAGAGAGTCGGAACCGTGAGGGAAGGGCACCAATTCAGGGTCAGAGGTCTACGGAAGTGAACAAAAAGACCGTTGGAGAGCTGAGGGGTTAGAAGACGGCTTCAGAACTGTGAGGCAAGGGCTTCAAGAAAGTTGGAAATCTGAAGGAGAAGTGCCGACAAAGAAATTGGGACACAAAGGCAGGTCACCAAAACTAAGTTGTAGCCCTGATATAGGAGTGCCAAGAGAGAACTTGGAACCCGGAGGCAAGGTTGACAAAGAATGACATGAAATCTGAGGGAAGGGAGCCAGCTACCCCGAAGTATGGACATCAGGGGAAGGTTAGAGCCTAGATAGAGGGTGTGCCAAGGGAGATTGGGCAGCCGTGAAGAAGAGGTGCCAAGACAAACTTGGATCCATAGGGAAGGGATCCAGGAGAGGTTTTAGGTACTCGCAGAGTTAACCCAGAGAGTTGAAGCCCTAAAAGAAGGGCTCCAAAGAGGTTTCAGAGTCCTGAGGAAGGGCATAAAGAGAGGTTGAGAGAGAGTTGTAGCTTTTAAGTAAGTGCACCAAGACATGCTTTGAGTCCTGAGGGATAAAGAGAGAGAGGAAGAGGATCCGAGGCTTGATAGAGGGGGTACCAAGTAACAGAGTTCTGAGGCTACAGAAGAGAGGATCAGGACCCTGAGGGAAGTGTATCTAGAGAGTTCAGCCTTAAGGAAGGACACCAAAGACTTTTGAAATCCTGAGAGTGGGTCAAAGCCTTGAGAGAGGGGTGGCTAGGGATCCTTGGTGCCATGAGGGAGCAGTTGCTATGTCAAGAAAGAGGGAGTCCTGAAAGTGTGGCACTAAGAGAGTCAGATTCCTGAGGGAGTAACTGAAAGAGAGGATAGGAGCCTTGAGATAGAATTGTCAAGGGAGCTTCAGAGCCATAGGGAGAGGGACAAAGACAGGATAGATCAGAAGGTGGGACTGAGAGGTGGTAAAAACAAAAAGGGAAAGGGAGACATACACACACACACACACACAGAGAGAGAGAGAGAGAGAGAGAGAGAGAGAGAGAGAGAGAGAGAATGTAGGGAGGTGGGAACCTTAAATTAAATACACCAAAAGATGGCTGGAACCTGTAACATGAGGGGGCTTGCTCGTTGGGGTTTCTGTCCCGCCTGGTATCCCACAGCGAGCAAGCCCCAAAGAAAATCACACAAATATCTCCATAAGTTATAAAACTGATTGGCCCAGTAGCTCAGGCCACTTTTTAGCTCTTGTAGCTTATATTAACCCACTATTCTTATCTATGTTTGCCACATGGTTCGGTACCTTTCACAGCCAGCAAGATTATGTCTTTCTTCTTGGTGGTCTGGGCAGAAGTGCGGGAAGAGCTTCCTTCTTCCCAGAAGAAATACTCCTGTTCTCATCGCCCTGCCTCTACTTCCTGTCTGCTTGATCTGCCTATACTTCCTACCTGGCCAATCAGTGTTTATTTAAAACATGATTAACAGAATACAGACAATTATCCACACCATTTCCCCCTCTTTTTTTTAAAAAAGAAAAGATCCATAGTCCATTTTTTGGAATTGTGGGTGTGGTTTTCCAGGCTCCTTCCAGCTGGCTGGGGGTGCTGGTAATCTTATGGGGACCTAAAGAAAATTTAGAATTATGATTAAGTCCTGACTGGATTATCCTGTGAGGCTTGATCCTCTCAGGCAGCTGTCTTTAATCTGTTCTGGATGTAGAACTCAGACATCCGGGCCATCTGTTCCTACCAGAAATTTCTCAGGTGGTTTTCCTTGATCAAACCTGATTTTTTTTTAAATTCAGAACTAATCCAGTCTTTCATTTCCTATGGAAACAAAAGCAAAATCTCTTCTCCAAAGTAACATACCTTTTGACTTCAATTTTGAAGTCAAGGTATTTTCATAATATCTTTCTTGGATTAGTTCAGCAGCATTTATAAGCAAATATCTTTTAGCAGCTATTGCTCCTTCCTCAGCATTCAAATAATTCAAAGAGAGCATATTAATATACAGTATCAAGATTCTCTGTGTATTTTCCATCTTTATGTGGCTTTACTTTAACCTCTATTTCTTTTATTTTTACTTTTACTTTTTGAGACAGGTTCTCTGTATATCTTTATCCTGGAATAACTCTGTAGACCAGGCTGTCCTTGAACTCACAGAGATCCACTTGCCTCTGCCTCCCAAGTTCTGGGATTAAGGGTGTCTACCACCACACCTTGAATTCACAGAGGTCTGTCTGTCTCTGCCTCCCAGGCATTGGGATTAAAGGTGTGTACCACCACACCCTACTACTCTCTTTCTTTCTTTTTTATTTTTGAGGACTTTAACCTTTAGCCTGCATATATTTTTAACACACTGAAACCATTTAGAGGTTTTCTTCATCTTTGAATCTCTCTTTACTATATCTCTCTTTTTCTGACCACATGAGTCTTTATGGAGAGGATTAAAATGGTGGCTTTGACGGCTGGATCCATCCCGTTCCTTAGCTTTCCAGCCTCATGGTGGAGGTACTGGCTGTAACCCTTTTTATTGCCACAACTCTGGCGTTTCAAGGTTCCTGCCAGCAAGCAAGCTGCAGCATTCTGCTCACAGACCACACTCAGTCAGACTGCCTGCCTGAAAGAGTCAGAGTTTGCCCTGGCAGGACAGCCCAAAAAGCCACATTTTAAGATGGCGCAGCTTTTTTCCTGCTACAGCTGAAAACCCAAAAGCATGCAGTCAGTTTTTATCAACACTATTTAAGTATTTTTGTGGCAGGACCTCTTAAAGAGCTGCAGGGTTTTGCAGCTAAAGCTGAGGTAGGAAGCCTCTCTTAGATGAGAGCACTTCCTTGCCTCTAGCAAGCAGAGCAGACCCAAGAACTTGCTGCTACCAAGAAAACATGCTTTACTCTATTCTTTCTCAATCTTTCTTAGGCTTTCTGTGGATGCAGTTATTCATGTGGGCACCATTCTGTAAGATGAGGGCTGGCTTGTTTGTTGGGGTTTCTGTCCTACCAGGTACCCCACAGCTAGCAAGTCCCAAAGAAAATCACATAGAGATCTCCATAAGTTATAGAACTGATTGGCCCATTAGCTCAGGCTTCTAATTAGCTCTTGTAGCTTAAGTTAACCCATTATTCTTATCTATGTTAGCTACATGGCTCGGTACCTTTCACAGCCAGCAAGATTACGTCTTGTTCTTGGTGGTATGGGCAGGTGTGTGGGAAGAGCTTGCTTCTTCCCAGAAGAAATACTCCTGTTCTCAACGCCCCCGTCTCTACTTCCTGTCTGGTTGACCCGTCTATACTTCCTATCTGGCCAATCAGCGTTTATTTAAAACATGATTAACAGAACACGGACAATTATCCCACACCAGGAACCCTTTTTAAAAACGTTGATGAGGATGAGATTTGTGGGGGTCAGAATCTTCAGTGAAGGCCAACAAGCAATCAGAGCAAAAAGGAGGGACACCAAGAAACGTTTAGAGCCCTGAGAAAGGTAAAACAGATGTTGGAAACTCTGAGGGAGAGGTGCCAAGAGAAACTGGGGTCCTTGGAGGTAGAGGTCCCAGAAAATTTGGGAACTGAAAAAAGGCCTGAGAAAGACTTGGAACCCTGAGAAAGCTCTGGGCTCCTCTAAAAGGACACCCAGAGAGGTTGACAGAGATACACCAAGAAATGGGTGGAGCCCTAAGAAAGAGATGATAAGGGAGGTGGGAGCCCCGAGGAAATAGTACCAAGTGTCAACACCATGAAAAGGTCAGAGTGAGGGAATCAGGAGTGAGAAATACCTAAAGAAATCCAGAGCACAGAGGGTAGGGTGCCTAAGGCTGGAGTTCTTAAGTAGGGCCACAAAACAGGAGCTGCAGCCATGATTAGAAGGAGGGGCCTCAAGGGGATCAGAACTCCGAGAGAAATGTGCAACAGAGGGTCAGAGCCCTCACTGAATTGATCCTAGAGAGTTTCTGAGCTCTGACGGAAGGGTACCAGGAAAAGTTTGGAGACCAAAAAGAGTCTTGAGAAAAGTGTGGCAGAGAAGTTCCATTAGAAGAGAGGGTTGGAATCCAAAGGAAGTGCACCAAGGGAGAACTGGAATTCTGAAGGAGGGGCCCCAAAAGAGCTTCAGAATCTGAGAGGAAAGTTCCAAGAGAGGTATTGATAGCTAAATAAGGGGTCCAAGATGGTTAGAGCTCTGGGGACAGAGGAACCTGGGGATTCAGAGCATTGAGACAGGATAGGAGCTCTGAGGAAAGGACCTAAAGTGAGTGTGAGATCATTGAGAAACGGGTGTCAGGAGAGTTTGGGAGACTTCTTGGGAAGGTGCCCTTTGTGATTCAGAACCTGGAGGAGGGTCACAAAGAGAGATGAGGATGAAGAGGGCCAAGAAAGGCTCAGAGCCCTGAGGATGCTAATAGGATGGACACTTAGAGGGAAGCAGACCAATAGAAGTTCCGAGGCCAGAGGGAAGGCTATGAAGAGTAGGAGGCTAGGAGGAAGGCACCAGGAGTTGCTTAGAGCCCTTAAAATGGGCTCCAGGAGAGGCTCCAAGCCCAGTAGGAAGGGAGCCAAAGAGGGCTGGATTGCAGAAAGAGGGGCACCAAGAAAGCGTTAGAATCAAAGGTAAGGATCCTAGGCAGTGAGGGAAAGTGGGGGGGGGGAGAGACATACAAACATACATACATACATAGAGAAAGAGAGAGTTGGATCCTGGAGAGAAGGACACTAAGAGAGGGTGGGGGTGCTGAGGTAGTGGTGCTAAGATTTGGTCAGAGAATTGAAAGAAGGATCCCATTATGTTCAAGGACTAAGAAAAGGGCACCAAGAGATGATCAGAGAAGATCAGAGCCTCAGAGCAGAGCTGCAATAGGAAAGTCTGGAGCAGAGGCACACAGATAGAGGGCCTGGGGCAGGAGCGCCTAGAGAGTGCCAGAGTCTGAGGAATGGCAGTCATAAAGGTTCAGAGCCCTGCAGGAGGAATGCCAAGTGAGGGGTTTCAATCTTGGTTGAACCACTCAGAATAATGATCAGAGCTGTGACTGAGGAATGGCACTCCAGAGCGTGTAACCTGAAGGAAGAAATGAAGGTACAGAGACGCTAGTGTGGGGACAGTCTTCAGGATGGTTCCCCAAAAAAAGAAGATGTCACTCATCTTCCTCAGGAAAGGCCTTCTAGAATGTTCCCCGAGTACAGACATGTCAGTGGGGCCAGCGGCTTGAGAGGTGCTAACAGAGCTTGAGTAACTAACCTGGAACATTCCAGAAGGGCACATTAGATTCCAATTAAGCAGTCAAGTTCCAGCTATGAGATGAGGAGATCAAGCCCAGTGGGACAGTTCTATAAGGAAAACACAGGGGATTCAGCAGGATGATTCTAGAATGGGGGAGCAGGAAGATGAGAAAAGGTTTCTAACAAGGGTAGGGAAACCTTAAATCCACTGTTAGCATAGAAGGGCAGGTTAGGAGAGGAGGATGTGGACTATGCCCATGGGAGGAAAATTGTCTAGAAGGGGGAAGATGGCAGAACCATCAGGACAGTTTCAGAAGTGGGAAGCAAGATCCATATATGCAGTAGAGCAGGGTGGAGTAGGCAAGAGCCTGAAGTTCCTGGGGAAGGAGCATTAGGGTAGGCTGCTGATGCTGAGGCCGTGACCATGGATGCCTCCTCTGTGCATTGATGCTGGGGACATGGACCTGGGTCAAGGATTCTTGCCCTCTCTGATGGTAGTGGACCTCTTCATTTTCAGATCTGCCTGCCTGTTGGAGATGATGCTCACCTTCTTCTTGCTAATTCTCCTGGGGTTCCCAAGTGTGAACACCGTTGTCAACAGTTCCCGTGGGTTGGACGACAGTATCAGCGGGTTAGAGAAAAGTACCAGCAGGTTGGACAACAGTACCAGCGGGTTGGACAGTGCCATCCAACCTAGGCAAGGTAAGTTTGCACTCAAAACTCGCAGTGTGTTGGATGGAAAGATACTCAATTTAGAGCTGACTGGGGTTTGAAGGAGATGTTTCGAATTGGACTAGCCAGAAGCAGGTGGCAGACACCTTTACTCACTGAGATCTTATTGGCTGCCTTGTTGGTTTGAGACAAGGTTTCTTTCTCTAGTTCAAACTCCCAGAGATGTCCCTTCCTCAGTCTCAAAATCCTGAGACTATGTGTGACCCAGGACACTGAGCTGCTGCCGCTGTTGCTAATTTAACAAAGGGCCACAATCAAATTACTAAGGAAGAACTCGAGAGCCTGGACATTCCTTATCATGCACTGGGTAAATTGTATTTCTGCAAACATTAGTGTTGCTGGGCACTGGTGGTAGACACCTTTCATCCCAGCACTCTGGAGGCAGAAGCAAGTTCAGAGCCAGCATGATGCACAGAGAGAGATTCAGGACAGTCATGACTATACAGAGAAGCCCTGTCTCAGAAGAACAAAACAAAAATTAAAACAAAAGGGCATTAGTGTCTACACCAGGCAGCTGTTTACTACACATGGATCATGAGGTCACAATTACCCTTTTCTGTTTCTAACAGCAAAAACAAGGAGGGAAATTAGTTAGACCTTTATTTTGTCTCATAATAAAGTTTATTTCATCATACACTGACATGGTTTTAATATCTAAGCATGGTTAGAGTGATACTCCTGAGATTCAATAAGTTGGAAATACTGAAGGCTCCCACAGAGAGCTACTGACCAGGAAAGCCAAGGGAGCAAGTGTCCATAGCACGTCAGAGCAGGGAGAGCAGGTGCTGAGTCCAGAGAAGCCCTGGAGGATTGTGTGTCCTAGGCGGCCACTGTTCCACAGAGGGATGGACAGCTTTGAAGAGCTCAGCTGTTTGACATGTGACCAGCCTTTTAGGAAAAGGAAAGATTCTTGAAGGGACTGCTGCTATCCAGGGAGCTGGTCTGTCTCTGCCTTAGACTAGGCCAGGTTCTGAGCACTGCAGCCCTGGGGTGGCTTGGGTAGAGAACTGCACTGGGAAGCAGCCATGGGAGGAGGGAGGATGGGAGTAGGATGGTGGAAAGGCTTTTTGGGGAAAAGCCCAACTGTTGCTTTTTCTTTATTCAGTTGCGGGTATGAAATGCTATCATTGCTCTGTAGAAAATACCTTCCATTGCCCTGATATAACTGACTGCCCTGACTTGAATGCTAAACGCTGTGGGACAGTTGCCATACGTAAGTATCTGTATGCTAGTCATAGGGTGAATAATCCTTCCTACACAAACTTGGGTGTCAGGGTCAGTCTGTTGTCTCTGCAGCCAGACCCAGCACTCTTCAGGCAGCTCCTTGAACTGAAATCCTGTTCACAGGCACTAGGTTTGGCCCACTTATAGGGTAATGTGCGACGGCTGTTCAAGGAGCCAAGAGCCTGTGGTTGACGGTAGGCTGACAGTCTACACACCCTGAGTATCCAGGGAATGAGACTGCTGTGGCCCCTCCAGGTCTTTGTCCCCAGGTGTCTCTCTATTCATAAGGGCAGACACCCTGATTCAACTTTTGTGAATCTTTGCGGGCATGTTGTTGGTTCTGACCCTGTGTATTCACATCCTCTATTGATTACTTTTCTATTGCTCTGGTAAAACAGCCTGAGCAAAACAGCTTCCAAAATAAGGCATTCGATTGGGTTTTTGACATCAGAGGGTGGGAGTCTTTAATGGTGGAGGAAAGGCATGGTGGCAGGGACAGCTGAGAGCTCACAGCTGGATCTGCAAGCAGGAGACAGAGAGAGCTAACAGGCAAAGGTGCTAGTGTTTGGAAATCCCCAAATCCTGGCATGCCTCAACAACACTCCTCCAATATGGCCACACATTCTAGTCCTTTCCAAACAATACTACAAACTGGCTACCAGGTATTCAAACATAGGAGCCTAGGGAGGTCATTCTCATTCACACTACCACACACATGAGCTAGCCAGATTCAAGCACTTAGGTGCCCATTTCCTCAGGGTGATGTCTGCCATCAAATATGCAAATGCTTGAGCTGGATCAGGGTACACAGCAGGCAAAATACATATTACTTAAGGAAGCAGTGATCTTTTGTGGAGGAGAAAGGATAGACTGCAAAGAAGATGTAGCAATCTTCAGGCCTGTACATCCAGTAACACAAGATGAAAATAACCACTGGCTGTGCAAGGAAAGGGGAAGCATTTCTAAAATGTAGGCAGTCAGGAGGCTCTGAAGTTCCCACTTTAATCCTACCTGCCATGGTGTCTAGACTGGACAGCACAAAGGCTAAAGTCATCACGGGTCTACATGGGGGATGGAAGAACTTGGCCTGGGAAGGAGCAGACAGCAATGGTTCTGATAACACACTGCTGTTGTGTCCCAACAGTGGTTTGTCTCCTGAGACTTCGGAAGATTTGGATTTGCCCACTAGGGTTTACTTTGCCAATATCAACAACAGATAACCTGATAATACCTTTAACAGATACAAATCACCATGTGAGAACAACACAGAAATGGCCTAATGCACACATTTTCCACTTTTCTACATGGGTTCATTAAATTAATGGAGTGTGTGATGTTGAGCATTGACAAGGTCCTCATAAATGACGCTCTGTGGAGTTATTTCTCCATCACAGTGCAATTAACCTGTGAATCATAGTGAGGGAAGGGACTGCCATGTCCTGGACAGGAAGGAACTTTGCACGCAGGTCAGTAGACAGGCAACCCACCCTGAAATGAGGAAATATTGTGTGTTGGAGGACTCATGAAGAGAGGACTCATCAAAAACGAGTCGAGATCCCTGACAGAGAGCTGAAGTTCAACTATGGACTGACACAGATTTATGTGGGGAGGGGACTACTTGGGTTGTGATCACGAGGTCCTTCTGATGTCGGGCAGCAGACAAGTCTCAGGGCTGTGGATGCTAAAGCAGTCAGGGTGAGTTCCACAGTGGAGGACCTACATAATGGCTGCAGACTGCCAGGGAACAAGCAGCAGCAAGGCCTCCAGCCTTCAGCCCAGGACTTCCAGCAGGGTGTTGCCAGTGGGGCTCACTTCACACAGCTCTATGTGGTTGAACACAGTGGTGATGACAGTCTTGTTCTCTATGGAGCCTTGCTTGAATGGACCATCTGATCCATGCTGGAGAACTTGTCATCAAGGGCTCCTGAATTTTTACATGGATTCCCAAGTTTGGAAAACTAGGAAAAGGGTTGGGAAGGAGTTCATCCTGGAGTCGTGAATGTGGGCACTCTTTTGTGTCCTTAGTCCTCCCTGGAGTCACAAAGAACATAGCTTCTGGTCACTCTTTCATTTAGAACTTGGTAATGCTTATCACAATGTTTGACCCAGAACTGAACAGGACATTTTATTTGCATAACTGTGTTTCCTGAGACTAAATTGTTACCCGGGGAGAGACAGTGACAGATGTAAAGATGGTAGCAACACATGGACAGGCGAGTGTGGATATTATTACTGGAACAATAAGGCCCTCTTTGTACTTCAATGTTTCCTGTCTAGCATTCTTGAGACTGTCTTGTAGTGGAACAATCTTTATATACCCTGTGAAGAAGTGTCACTCTGAATGTTTTAGAAAAGCTGAATGGCCCAAAGCTGGGCAGGATTTTCAGGGCAAAGAGGATGCTGGGAACAAGGAGGGTGGTTTCACAGCCAGAAGAGGAGGAAGCATGACTTGTAGGGTATGAGGTAACAAGCCATGTGCTCTGTGGCAAAATGCAAATGAATAGAAATGCAGGTATTTAAGTTTTAAGAACTAGTTAGAAGTCTAAGCTATCTGCTGAACTTTCGTAATTAATAAAAATTCTTTGTGTGAATTATTGGAGATTTGACTGGTGGGACAGTATCATCTCCCTACAATGTCTCTAATTAGGGGGATGGAGCTAGTGATGTTTGACTGAGGTATTGGGTTTACAGTGAAGATCTGAAGGTGGTAATTCTCCTGATGGCTTCCTTTCTAGGTATGAACTCTCGACTGCTTTTAATCTGGAAATACTGCATGACTAACTGCTCGTTTGTGCTTGTTCAGCCTCCACCATCCTTTAGAAGGTTTAAAAACGCCCATAGCTTCTACTTTTCCTATTGCTGCTCAGATCCTCTTTGCAATGATGGAGGACCTGATAATCTAGAGAGGGACTTGCTACCCCCTCCTGTGTTTGAGGAAGATGTAATTGCAAGAGCTGTATGTCTGGGGGAGTTCAACCTTCTCCTGAGCCTTGCCTTAATCCTCTCCAGCAGCATACTGACCTGAGAAAGCCTCCTTGGTCTGTACTTACCTTCCCACAGTTGCAATCAACTTTGCTCTTTGTTATCCTTGTTAAGCAGAGATAGTGTTCAGGGCATCTGTTCGGCCCATTCATAGCTTGTTGTAAGAAAGAAATAAAGATTTGTGAGTTGAAAATGCCCCTGGCCATTGTTTTCTTGTTATACGGGACTACTCAGCCTGGAATCTCTACTCAGATCAGCTCCTTCCTCTTCTATATCCTAAGAATTCCTTCACTGGATCACAGTTTGAGAGCTTGGCACCCTTTAAACACTGTAGTCTAAATACTCATCTCACTAGGTAGGGTCCAAGGCACCGGGCAGCCTTGGAATATGAGTGTTTTGAACAAAAGACTGAAGTGTTCTGATGTCAGTCAGTATCTAGGCTGATAAGACAGATTCCAGCTAAGCTCAGATCACCAATATCCCCACTGGATCATTTCAGTCCTCAGGTTATGGGAGAAGGGACTAGGGACAGTGCCTGGAAAGGAATGGGAGCTTGACTGCTGGGCCTGCCAATCAAATCTATGTTTTCCCTATACTGTGGGACAAGTTTCTAGGCATCTGGCTTGTCTCTCCCACACCTAATGGAGTCCTTGAAAGTCCAGCTTCTAAGAAATCCCTCTCACGGTTCAATTAAAGACACCACAAAGCAAAAGAAGCTGGAAATGTGAGGGCTAAGAAATCTACTCACAACAGGTTCTTTCTATTCATGTTTCTTATTCTTTTTTCTTAATCTCTTGTTACAATCATTCCCACTAATATATATTCTTACAACAAGCAATTCCCCATTCCTAGCAGGTGTCATGACCAAAATTCTGTTCCCATAAAAATCAGGTAACAGTTCTCTCTCTCTCTCTCTCTCTCTCTCTCTCTCTCTCTCTCTCTCTCTCTCTCTCTCACACACACACACACACACACACACACACACATACACACACACCACATGCAGGGGGGTAGAGAGAGATCTTTGACTGTCAGCTCAAAGGTGGGACAGGCTATTGCACATCTGGTAAACTCCTTAATCGAGAAAGTTAAGAAAGGAATTAACCCATCGGGGGAATTCTAGAGGGTAATGTTAGTGCACTACACTGCATTTTTAGATGGTAGATATAAGAGTTAAAGGGTTTACTTTCCATAAAATTAGGAATAGGGCATAGATTGTTTTTTAAATCTGCTCACCACTTTTTTTCTCCCAGCATGCACAGAGGATACCGGGTAAGGAGGCAGCTGGCATAAACAGTCAGGAGGAAGCTAATGGCTCCTGATCTGCTTAGCACACTCGCCAGATACTGCAATATCTAAGGGCTTAGGTCTGGAGTTTACACTTACAGCTCTAAGCGGTAGAAACAAAGAGGAGGCCCTGATCTCTGAATTATCAATTCCAGGGTTTGCAGTTACCAGCCATTCTGATCGTGGGCAAAGGGGGTTTGTGGCTCCAGCAGGAAGTGAGTCGTTCTCTGTCCTTGAGAGTAAAACACAGCAGTAAGTTTCCTGATCTAAAATCCTCAGAAAACTGAGGAAAAAGGAGTTAGGAATCTCTTAATGAAGTTTAGTTTGGGGGCCATTATATTCCTTATCTATAAGTGAGGTAAAAGCAGGGCAGGAGCTTGAACAACAGGTAATTCTATGTCCTTGGATATCTGTGAATACCTTAAGTGTAATGCTCTTCCCTGAGCCCTAAACACTGACCAAATGCCTGCAATAGAGGTAATTGTAAGAGATCTCTGCATTTACCTAGGAGAGAGACAAAGGCCTGGCAGTGGGAAATTGTTTTCACATGTAGCCGGGGGTGTTATTAGTCAGCCCCAAAAGAACAGGAGACAGTTCTGAACTGTGGAAATTAATTCCCAAACATTAACAGAAGGGGTGTTAATTACAGTGAAAATCCACAGCCAAAGACAGCCACTTTATTCCCAAAGCAATAACACCAAAATTTTATTGATTTATGGTATAACATTTACCAGGGCCCGTGGCTCTGATACATTGCTCATCAAAAGATGGATGAGAATTACTGTATAATGTTGCAGCTTGTAACCAACCCCACCTGCTCTCACGGAGGTGACAGAATCTTACCCATGGCTAAGCCCTGGCAGTCTCTGCTCATTTTCAAATTTTATTACAATTCTATTTTATGTATATGTGTGCATGCATGTGACCCTATTTAGGTGTGGGTTTTCTTCACGTCTGAAATGCTCAGGAGTTGTGAGCATGTATGTACACCAGCACAGCCACAGAGTGTGGCAGAGAAGCAGCGAGATAGATTGAGAGATTTGCCTGAAAGAATTGCCTCTGAAGGTGGTGGTGGTGCACGCCTTGAATCCCACTACTTAGGAAGCAGAGGCAGGTGGATCTCTGTGAGTAAGAGGTCAGCCTGGCCTACAGAGCTAGTTCCAGGACAGACAGAGCTACACAGAAACACCTTGTCTCGAAATCAAAGAAAAAAGAAGGAAGGAAGGAAGGAAGGAAGAAAGGAAGGAAGGAAGGAAGGAAGGAAGGAAGGAAGGAAGGAAGAAAGTAAGGAAGGAAGGAGGGAGGGAGGGAGGGAGGGAGAAAAGAAAGAAAGAAAGAAAGAAAGAAAGAAAGAAAGAAAGAAAGAAAGAAAGAAGAAAGAGAAAGGTTTAAAGCAAGCAGTATTGGCTCTGATAGATCTGGCTCCTCGTTCTAAATTTGTGGGCCAGGGCATCAGGCTTGGATATAGGTCTGGTCTCACAAGGCAGTTGTGAGTCCAAATTCTGTGACCCACAGGCAAGAAGCACAGAGTGTCTAGGTCACAGTGCGCAGAGGAAAATCCCATTTCAGGGTCCCTCAGTCTTTGCTCACAAGATCCTCCTCAGATTGCTACCCACCTTCGGGAAGTATACCGAGGTAAACATTTGCAAGTTACCCCTGCAAGGGCATTTCAACCAAGGTGCCTCACATACTTAGCGCTGTACCTGCGTGGACACGTACAAGCACTTCCCCCTTTCACACCGAGTGTCTGTGGGCCTCTAAGTCTGGAGTTTTCATTTTGAGTGGTGCCATCCATGTCTTAACACAGATGAGGGCTCCATGCCTGTTTTGTGTGACTATAATCATTATGTTTGTTGGCTTTATAAACTACAAATCACATAATGCTCAACTCACCCATTTAATATGTAAAATTCATCTGTTTCGTATATTGTGTACATGGATTCATCCATCATCAATACAGTCAATTTTCAAATGCCTTTTCCTCAAAATAAACTTCAGAGCCATTCCCAACCCCTGTCTTGTACCATCCATGCTGTTTTACCAGTAATCAGCCTATATTAATGTACTTCCTGTCTGTATGGATGTTTGTGTTCTGGACATTATCTAAGATTGGGCTTGCATGAAGCTTGGTTTTTGACAACTTAACGAATGTGTGTGTGTGTGTGTGTGTGTGTGTGTGTGTCTGTGTTCAGTCTGTGTATGCATACATTTTAATAGAGCTATATAACTTTTGTGTTTTATATATGTATGTACATGTAATTTCTTTGAAGTGGTATAATGTTTTCAAGGTTCAACTCCCCTATCATTCACCTCTTCAAGGTGTAGCCATTGCTATCTGTTTTCATGTAAACTCACTTCCACAGGTGATAAATCCTGGCACCTGAAGTCTGTTAGCAAGGGACCACAGACTATGACTCTGTAGGTTTCCTGTCATACCTGTGAGAGCGGAAGGACTCCCCTGGGCATGCACTTGTGACCTCAGCAGCAGCGAACTCTAGCATCACATTTTTATGTTACCAGTCTTGATTTTACAGGAAAGAAATAAAGCTGTGTCCACACAAAAAGAAGGGACTCCTCACAGGCCCCAGAATATGCATTGTATTAACTCATAATCATGACATTTTTTCAAGGTATTGCTATTATTCATACACACACACACACACAAACACACACACACACACACACACACACTTGCGGCTCTCATCTTAAAGGGAATAAGAGATAGTTTATTCGAGGGCCATGTTATGTGAACATGGTCTGGAAACACAGATTTAGATTACCACAAATTCCATGTTTCAGTGTGGAAACATTTTCATGAACGTTTTCAAAGATAGTCATAATTCAAGGCAAGGTTAAAATACATAGGTGGATGCAGTGGAGAGGCAGCTACAAACACACTGGGGATGCGTTTTTATAGGCCCAGGATGTCATCTGATGACATTTTGGATCCTTGGGTTGGTGGAGGCTAGTGGCCTACTAAGCTAATAGATCCCAAGTCTCCTGTCTGTTCGTCACAGCATGTTCGCTCTCACACCGAGAGGGTCAAGGATGGTCCGTCCTGAAGCACGAAACAGCTGAAGGTGAGGTACTCAGCCTCCGGGGCTGCAGCATCCCAGTCGCACCACATTGCTGCAGCGTTCTGTACATTTAGTTGAATTTTTTTATTTATTCTGTTTTGTTTACATGTGTGGGTGCTTTGCACAGTTATGTGTTATACACCATGTGTGTGCAGTGACACTGGAGGTCAGAGAGGTTGTCAAGTCCTTTGGAACTGAATTTCAGGTCGTCGTTAGCCACCATGTTGTGTTGGTACTGAACCTGGGTCCTCTGGAAGAGCAGCCAGTGCTGAGCCATCTCTCAAGCCCCATTGCAGTTTTAATCAGTCTTTCCTAACACAGCTTCTTTTCCAGAATTCTGGTCCATACTCCCCAGTAAGTAACTTTCATCAGTTGTCTGCTTACCAACCTTTTGTCACATAACATATAATTTATTTTGTGATTCTATGTTTAATATCTATGTTTTGTATTTAAAACATTTTATGTGGTTGCTAAGACTTATGATCACTCTTAAGCTCATAACACATTTGCCTATTTTTTAAATAAATAGATAGGTGTTTCCGAGCTGACTTTTTAAGTTCTATTTTTTTAATGTATTGGTTTTATTCAGAAAACTTGTTCTCAAAAATTTTAATTTGACCAAGAAGCACATGGTTAATACGTAGTTTTCTGGCCTTTCTTGGTAGCAAGATAGTTTATAATCTGAAATTATTTGACCACTCTCATATAGTCCTCTTCCAAGTACTATAGTTTGGGTACAACTTCCTTTTAATTGGTTCACAAGTTAATTTCTTAAAGTCACTAAGTTTCATTATATTAAAATGAATTTATAAGAGTCAAGAGTTAAAAAATG